GTTGAACACTCTGGTCATGTTCCATATAGGTATTATTTAATAAATATCCCTTCGTGGTTTTTTTCCTGTATTTGCAAACCCCAGAAAGTAAATTTAATCACAATGATATTGTTTGGAATATCAGGGATAGTAAACTAACAAGATTGTTGAGGGACTCCTTAGGAGGGAAAACAAAGACATGCATAATTGCCACGGTATCACCCTCTATCCACTGTTTGGAAGAAACACTCAGCACCCTAGACTATGCGCACCGTGCCAAAAACATAAAGAATAAACCAGAGGTCAGAAGTTTGCCCACTCCCTGTTCTCACAAATCATAAAGGGGAATTGTCTTTCATTCTGACCCTTGTTATGGTTTGTTGTTGCTCATTGTTTCAGGTCAATCAAAAAATGATGAAATCTGCTCTGATCAAGGATTTATATTCTGAGATTGATCGGCTTAAGCAAGGTTGTTAACTGATTTCATCGTTGCTCCTCTCTCTCCTCAGAAGCTTTTTCTAGTGGATAATATTATTTAATGATTTTTTTGATAGTTAGTTTATTGCAAGCTAAATTGTATGACATGTTTCTTATGTTTATTCAGAGGTATATGCTGCAAGAGAGAAGAATGGAATCTATATACCACGAGATCGTTATCTTAATGAAGAAGCAGAGAAGAAGGTCTGATTGTTGCCATTTAACTGAATGACGCAATTCTTTTCCTACATAAATTCACACAATGCACTGGTTACTGACCTCATTCCTCTCTTTTTACCCTAGGCAATGGCTGAAAAAATAGAGCGGATGGAACTTGATTCTGAATCCAAAGACAAGGTATTTCCATGAAGATTGCACTCCTTTCTTTGTAAGTATTACCAGACTACAGCGTAGGAACTAATATAATTGTTATGTGGTGGTGACCTAAGCGCAGCAACTGATGGAGCTTCAGGAACTTTACAGTTCTCAGCAACTTTTGACTGTAGACTTGAGTGATAAACTTGAAAAAACTGAGGTAATACATTTGGGAAATCAAATTACATAGTCTCCCATTGTTCTTTCTGCTTTCATCCTGATAAAATTCAACACTTTATACTTCAGAAAAAGCTTGAGGAAACTGGAAATGCACTGTTTGATCTCGAGGAAAAACATCGACAGGCAAATGCAACCATTAAAGAGAAGGAATTTCTGATTGCAAACCTCCTCAGATCGGGTGAGCAAAGTGTCTGCTACAACGAATTTTGTTGTACATTCTACATATTCAGATCAGATATTGATACTTGCCATTTCATTTTACCTTCAGTTTATATAGTCGACATTTGATGGATCAAATAGCTTTTCCTAAGGACTTCCATTTTTGACTTGTTTGTCTTCTAGTTTGTGCGCTTTCCAGATGGTACAATTTGATGCCTCTGAATCTTCCTTACAATAATATGCACTGTTAACTTTCAGAGAAATCACTGGTTGAGCGTGCATTTGAGCTTCGAGGAGAGCTAGAGAATGCTGCATCAGATGTGTCCAGTTTATTTGCCAAGATTGGTTTGTCTCATTATTTTGGATATTTTTATTGGGTCTTCCTCAAAACTTCTGGTGCTTTATTGCTAACCATGGCTGGTTTTCCAGAGCGCAAGGATAAAATTGAAGATGGAAATCGGATATTAGTTCAGAAATTTCAGTCCGAATTAACTCAACAGCTTGAAATCTTGCATAAGACTGTCGCAGTTGCAGTGACACAACAGGAGCAGCAATTGAAAGGTATGGAGGAGGATATGCAGTCCTTTGTATCAACCAAGGCAGAGGTAAGATCTAGACAAGAAGATGATTGTCTTTGAGCATTCTTGACATTTGATTGTCAGTCTATAACTACGTACAACCTAATTATTTGCCATGCTTTTGAAGGCTACTGAAGAACTTCGAGGAAGACTAGGAAAGCTTAAAAATATGTATGGTTCTGGTATTAAAGCTCTGGATGGTATAGCTGGGGACCTTGAAGGAAATTCTCAGTCAACTTTTTGTCATCTAAATTCAGAAGTTTCTAGCCATTCTTCTGCTCTGGAAGATGTAAGTATTAGTTCACTGTTTTTCAGTCTTCACTGTTCTTTTACTATTTCTGTACTTAACTTTGTTCATATGATTTAGCTCTTCAAAGGAATTGCTTCAGAAGCTGATGAATTACTCAATGATCTTCAAGGTAATCTTCACAACCAAGCAGAGAAGCTAAGTGCATATGCACAACAACAGCGTGAGGTTCGTAATATATTGTTGCTTTCATGGTTATTTGTTTTATTTTCTTCAAGAGTAAAATTCAAAAATCTCTTTTTGGAGTGAAAAATTTGGTCTTCAATTTTGTACAGGCTCATGCCAGAGCAGTTGAAACTGCACGGTCAACTTCTAAAGTTACTGTGGACTTCTTCAAGACTCTAGACTTGCATGCATCCAATCTGACCCAAATCGTGGAAGAAGCACAAACTGTCAACAATAAGAAATTGTCTGAACTTGAAGAGAAGTTTGAGGTGGTTGCAGTGTACTTTCTAAATTAAATGGGCCATTAACAACCTTATTAACAGAATTTAATGCTTGTTTTTTTTAATTTATATGTAGGAGTGTGCTGCTAATGAAGAAAGGCAGTTGCTAGAAAAGGTGGCAGAGTTGCTGGCAAGTTCAAACGCTAGGAAGAAAAAACTGGTATGTCTTGTTCTTAAGCTGCAGCCAATTACTGATTCCTTGTTCCTAAGGTTTTATGTCAGTAACAACTTTTTTATTTAGGCTCAATTAGTAACATTCTTTATCTATTAAATAGGTCCAAACAGCAGTAAATGATCTTCGAGAGAGTACAACAAGCAGAACCAGCAAACTACAGCAAGAAATGTCAACCATGCAAGATTCAACATCTTCTATCAAAGCAAAATGGACAGTTCACATGGAAAAAACAGAATCCCATTACCTTGAAGATACATTTGCTGTGGAAAGTGGAAAGAAAGACATGGAAGAGGTTCTACAGAATTGGTACATATTCTGGATATTAGGAATTTAAACTTTGATCTGGCCATGATTCTGCTACCTGAATTTTTCTGGTCCATTACTTACACAAAAACAACTTGTGCAGTTTGAAGCAGGCAACAATGGGTGCAGAACAATGGAAGAATGCCCAGGGTTCCTTGCTCAGTCTAGAAAAGAGTAATGTTGCTTCTGTGGACTCCATTGTTAGGTATGCTCATTCCTTATAAGAAAGAAATATTGCAGGTTTTAATTGAAGATTATTCATTCAATTTTTTTCTCTTCAACTAGGAGGGGAACGGAAGCCAATCAAGCTCTACGTGATAGGTTTTCCTCTGCTGTATCAGCTGCACTAGAAGATGTAGACGCCGCAGACAAGAATCTCCTGTCTTCTATTGATCGTGAGTGTCAAGTTTCACATATTGATTTCACATTTGTCTTGCTAGGTTATATATTGGATTGCATGTTAACTGAAACAAATACTTGCAGATTCATTACAACTTGACCATGAGGCATGTGGAAATCTTAACTCAATGATCGTTCCATGTTGTGGGGATTTAAGGGAACTGAAGGGAGGTCACTACCACAATATTGTCGAGATCACAGAGAATGCAGGAAAATTTCTTCTGGATGAATATGTGGTAAGACTGCTAGAGTGCTTTTTGTACAATATATGTGTTTTTTATTCGATGACATTATGTTCTTTAATGAGTTCTTCGATTCTGCAACACTCAGGTGGACGAACCATCATGTTCCACGCCAAGAAAGAGGTCGTTCAATCTTCCAAGCATTGCATCCATTGAAGAACTCAGAACTCCTGCCTTTGAAGAATTGTTGAGATCATTCTGGGATGGAAGATCTGCAAAGCAGCAGGCAAATGGAGACTTAAAACACATCGCAGTGGCGTACGAGGCTGCCCAGTCCATTAGAGACTCCAGAGTTCCTCTCACTGCTATTAACTGAAGAGGGGGGAATCAAAGATTTAGAGGACAGAGAACACGTGTGTACATAACATGTATGGCGTATATATGTACTCTTGTAGTCACTGTGCTACGCTATTCGTTAATTGTTTCTGGAGACAGTGGATGAAAAATGATTGTGGATGGAGAAATCTATATAGTTAGGCCTCCTGGGGAAACTTCAAAACTTGAGTTCATTGAATTTCCCACTTTGTAACGAACTGCAATTGGATTATTGATGAGGAGTTACTGAGTGTTTTGGTTTGAGTGCTTTCGAAGCTTCTTCTTTACAGCCATAGTTCTTGTCAATCATGATACCTTCGATTTGCACCCAAAAGGATGCATCCAGCAGATTTATTATTTTTGTGTGGATTAGATTAATTAGAATAATTAGGCTATCAGTTGTATTTAAAAATAAAAATACCTTCTATAAATTATCACAAAGTCAATAACCTTAAACAGAGATCGAAACAGAAAACCAATCTATTCTGGTGCGAGTGAAAACCAATCTATTCATTAAACCAATATGACTCGCATATCATTCAGACCAAAAGCCACACTTTTTTGGGCGGATGGAATTAAGAACGGCGGTGGGGATACACTTTGGGTTAAAGTGGTCAAAGTGGTGAACAAAATATTTCCATAAAAAAAGGCTTATAAAATATCAAGTTTAGGAACTAATGTTGAAAAATAAAAGAGGCTAAAGAAATATAACCAGAACGTTGAAAAAACAATAGGAAAGGCTGAGAAACTTCAACTTGATTCTTGTCCTTGAATTACATCTTAAATAGAAACACCAAAGTTACTGCCGCAAGTAACTCACCCACAACTTTAAGATTTTGTGGAACTACATCCCATGATTAAAAGCATGAAGAAAGACAGACAAACCATGACTCCTATAAACTAAGATAATACCAGTCTCCTATCTATAGGTGTAGAAACTGAGTTTTCTATGTCTTTCAAAAGAGATATTACAACATATTTATATACAAGGTATAGGATGGTAGACCTATCAGTTACTCTTACAAGTCATTGATAGCCTAATAATATCATAACAGCAGCAGACAATGAACTAGTCATAACTTTGATAACTGCCTAACAATAGGCACCAACCCTTACTGAAAATAAATAACTGTTAAAATAAATCTTCACACTAAACGATGAGGACTCCTAAACGAAAGGTACGGAACTTTTTATCCAAGTTTAGAAAAAGGAAAGTTTTTGTGGAATTCATGACAACACGGACTTGAGCTTTCTCGAGGAAACCAGTTGGAGGGAGGTTTGAGCGCCCTTTTACTCAGAGATGCTGAAGATGATGATACGGACTACAACTGCTGCTACTTCTTCTTCTTCCTATTGCTGGAGCAGCAGAGGTATGAATTGTCTTCACTCTAACTCCACTTTTCTCGTTTTCGTCACCAATTACTTTGCTTTCTTTCATTCTCAACCTTCGAAACCGATCAAATCTACAAGAACCCAACTAGAGCAGCCAAAAAGAGACTTACCCAAAATCACAAATGTTGAGGATGCCTTCAATGTGTTCGATAGAATGCTTCAAATGCGCCCTCTGCCCTCTGTTGTCCGTTTCAATATAATCTTGGGTCAAGTTGCAAAATTGAAACATTACTCGGCCGTCATCTCATTGCATAACCAAATGGGTGTGTCGAGAATTGGACCTGATGTTTATACCCTAACCATTCTCATAAATTGTTATTGTCATCTAAACCAAATGGGGTTTAGTTTATCTGTATTGGGAAAATTCTTCAAACTTGGTCTTGAACCA